AGAGTATGATGGTGAGACAAGAAGAATGTCTGAAACATTGTTTAGTGTTTTAATAGAGTCAGTGTCAAACAAAACTTCCAATGAATACTACAGTCTATCCCTGACTGCAATTTTAGCATTTTTAATGTTTATTTAGTTTCAATGTTTTGTTTTACTCAGAAGTGAATACTTGCTTTTGTGACTGCAATTTTAGCATTTTTAATGTTTACTTAGTTTCAATGTTTTGTTTTACTCTGAAGTGAATATTTATTTTTGTGGTGTTTGAACAAATAATTATATTAATATTTATGTAATTTATTGTTGATGGATTTTGATGCCCAGCCTAACCAATCAATGAAAATCAATACTGGAAATTAATTAATCAGTCAATATCAATCAATATTAATCTATATTGATTTGAGTTAACTTCCTTAATTTTATCATGTTTTTAAGAGTTATCCTCTGGCATACATAGTTAAGGAAACAGTATACTGGTTGTATGTGATTACTGATGTTGACATCTGTTATTCCAAAGAAACAAATACCCTCAGATGGCATCTCTCTTTCCTGTGTTTGTAAGCCTTTTCACCATGTCTGGAAAGACCACAGGCAAATAAAGGTCTGCCACAAAGTCGAACAAGACACCTGCTACTTAGACACCTACTTAGACAGGGTTATCAATTTCCAGTTTAATCAATTAATTATCATCAACTGATATTGATTTGTATTGGTTAGTGATACAAAATAGATTTATCAATAACATTAGTCAGGCAGGGTTTGATGTACAGTGTGCCAGATGACCTTCCTGTGTTTGAATGAATATGTAATGTTATATATCAGGAACCACTGGAAATCTAAGGCTTCCTGGTAAAGTGGCTTCTGCACTCAAACTGTCTGGTTTTGTGGACATTTCTGCTGTAAGTATGTGCTAATTGAATTGTATTAGCTGTCTACAGTATGTTAGCAATCTCTCTGTTTTTGATACCTTTGTTAATATAATTCCTCAATAAATTATAAGCTGTTTTCAAACTTTAAATGAATGCTCCTTCTTACCAGTACATGTTATTCAGGGAGCTGACTAGAGGTGGACACCTGTCTACCTTCCCTTTGCCTGATTCTGGGGCCAAAAACCTCTGGAACATTCANCAACAGCCCTAAACATCTTGGTTTATAATGGTTTGTTCACAGCTTCCAAGCCCACGGTCAAAGATGAAAATGTTGCAAAAATTTGGACATTATCAGCACAGGATATTGACGACGATGAAATTGTAAGAACAATGGATCACAGTCGTTCCACTGTTATGTACATTACATTATGTCCAGTATTTGGTGCTACTCATCACATTCTGTTCTGGTGTTAGTGTGAAATTTGGTCTGAGCTAGACGCAAATCTATTTTAAACAGCAATGTTGTGTATTACTGTTGAACTTTCAGGCATTTCATGATTTTTTGTTCCTGCTGCACTGATCATGTTTCCTCCCAAAATGAGACCCATCAAGTTATTATCAAGACTCTAATCTGTTTGTTTGAAATCTTTCTTGTTTGGTATTTTCTAGAACACTTTGGACATCTGGGTGAAACCATATTGGTGT